TTTATCTAAAAGTGCACTTTTCCTTGTTTTAAATCTAGCCAAAAAGCCATGTGTTGACTGTGAAACAGTAGACTTTAATTATATGCATTTATGGTGTAATTACTAAATTTCCGTGTCAATCCATGTTAATTTTTACCGCGAATAATGCGCTGTCACTTTAATTCAGCGCGTATAGCACAGCAGAAATAGATTCCGTGTGGAAACGATCGCAGCATGACTGCTGCCGACGCACTGCGCCTGGAGCGCACTGCCGGACCGCAATCGCGTGCAGTGTGAACGCTCTGATCCGTTAAACATGGGCGCGGAGAAAATACGCACCACAGACGGAGTGTGTGAACCTGGCGTTACGTTTGTATGTCCGCCCTGTCTGTTCTGTTCTCGTGCTCCATTTAGGCGCTCTGCACTCTGATTGGTTCGGATAGCATACCGCGGGAGGTCGGGGGCGCGGAAAATCGTGCTATAAAGCGATTTAGAAATCGCGCAAGCTCAAATTGCGATTTTATGACGATTTCGATTAATCGCACAGCCCTAGTTTCTTTGCAACCAAAGGTGTTCTGGCCTTAATCAAGTTTCACTAGACAGAAACACAAGCTTTTTTAAACGACATGAGTCTCAACATCACTAGGCATTAGAAATCTTTTCTATAAGCCATTGCCAAGTGGTTCGTTCACACGCTCACGAAACGTTGAGCTCATATGAGAAATGCAGGTTCGATTTCCCATTATTTTCCTGTCCCATCTCTCCCTGAGCTGAGTCATGGCTAGCTTTAACTCCAACAGCTGGATTGCCATGCTCCAGCTTCCCTGCTGACTATCTGCTCGCTGTCTTCCTCTCCGTCTGTCTCTCTCTGTACTGTCCGTGGTTTGCTGACAGGGGAAACCCAATAAACAGCCTGGTTGCATAACCACTGCTCTCCTGGCACCTTCAGCTTGCCAAATAGCTGCACCTCCCTGCAGCTTTACAACAACTGCGCCACAGAAACTGAACCAAAACTGTTTGAACATTACTGGAGCACTTTGATATCAGGTTTTCCTCCATATTAGGTCATTTTGTGGGAAACAAACACGCAAATGTTTGGTTGATTGATTGACAATGAAAGGAAACTGGAGACCTGGTAGTGAAACAAATGCATGCGCAAAGCAAATAGTTGGTCTAATTCTACAGTATAAAGAAATAATAGACAGGTTGTTTGTCTTAAGTGGCTGCAAATTGATGTTCACAACCTGATTTTATTTCCGAAATCGGATGCATTTAAGCAAAGCAGGATGGGGAATTAGGGAAGAAAAGGAAACAAAAAAAATATCCCTGATTTTATCCATCAGGAAATAACTGGATGATGAAAACAGGGTGTTATATACCAAAATACAGCCAGACCAATAGGGGTGTAACAATATTCAAACCGATCCTAAAAAACTCAATTCACCACCCACGATACGTATTGCGGTACTCTTTGTATGTATTTTTTAATGTACACTACCAATCAAAAGTTTGGGTCACTAAGATTATTTTTAAAGAAATTAATACTTTTATTCAGCAAGGATGAATTAAATTGATCAAAAGTGACAGTAAATACTTTTACAATGTAAATTTAAAAAAAACTATTAAAAAAGATGTTCTTCTGCATTTTTCTGAAACGTATAAGTTTCCAAAAAATATTAAGCAGCACAACTGTTTTCAACATTAAGAATAATAAAAATAAATGTTTCTTGAGCAGTAAATTAGTATATTAGAATGATTTCTGATGGATCATGTGACACTGAAGACTGAAGTAATGATCCTGAAAATTCAGCTTTACATCACAGGAATAAATAACAATTTACAATGTATTAAAACAGAAAGCCATTATTTTAAATTGCAATAACATTTCACAATATTACCGTTTTAAATACATTTTTGATCAAATAAATTCAGTCTTGGTGAGCGAAAGAAACTTTTTTAAACAACCCCAAACTTTTGAACGCTAGTTATACATGATAAACATTTAGGCTACATTAATGGATACTATTAGTTCCAAAGCAGAGATAAGTTCATTTCCAGAGGTAAAAAATGTATTACGTAATAAAAAAATTGTGAAAAAAAAACAAAAAATAGAATAATGTAAACTGATTAATCGCACATATGAAGACCACTGATATGTATTGAAGTAAATGGTGTCAAATTTGACTTCATGAAAGCAAGCTACACAAACTAGTTTTAAGAAACTACATGTGAGAGGTCAAACATCAAGGCAAAACTACAGTCTCTTTATTGAGGAAGAACAGCAGTGAGTCTGGATCCATCCTATATTCATGTCTGTGAGCTCACAGT